TTTTCTTGCCTACTCGAAGATCTCTGCTAATTTCAGCACCTCTGAGTGTGCGTTTTGCATGGAGCTGCCCATGAAACGGTTTCCGGGCGTTTTAGTGCGTTGCTCCATTCATTCAACAATAATGGAGTCACAAGAGTATTTTTGTATTTTAATGAAAATGTAGCACTTTCCTGTTTATACATCCTGGCTAAATGTCTGCCATTGGTTAATACAGCAGGATCGATAACCAATTCCGAAAGTTAAGTACCCGGCCCCCACGTGTGTGCTCCTTCCACACACACATAAACACACCCACGCCTGTATGTATAAAGGTGGAATAAGCATATGCATGTGTCTGTTATTTATATATAGTATCGTATTAGATGTACAGGTATAAAGTGTGTGTGTGTATGTGTGTATGTATACACACATACGCACACAGACAGACATCTATGTATGTCTATGCACAGCGCACACACACATGCGAGCACACATATATACATTTCGCCAATAGTTTACACCGTGGTAGCTATCAGTGGAGTACACTTCGATTCGTTTACACCAAAAGACATCCGCTGCACTTTTCTTACTAAAAATTAGTTTGTTACCCATAGATTTAAATTTTTACAACTCTGCCTTTTGGACGTTTTATATTTAATAATTATTTGCAATTATTTCCCAGATGAACGAGAACTTGGACTGATCACAATGACAGCCTGTATGCTTTTTATAGTCCGCTATACACAAATAATACCCATTACTATCATTTGCAGAGAATTAACCGCTAAAAAGGGACTCTTGAAAAATGAACGAGTGCTTCGTACGTGTCAAAAACGTACACGGTTGTGACAATTTACCAAAGTAACCAAGATCTCAGCAAAAATAAATAAACAAAGTCCAAGTGGCATGCCCAGCAGTGGTGTGACTGCTGTTTTTACTTCCAGTTAAAGCAAGAAAAAGGATAAGTAGGCAAGGCCAATTCGACGCTTATATCTTTATTTCGGACGTGGCTCGCTTTCTGCAGGCTAACTTGTCTCATGAATGGTCTCGACTTTTTAAAAAAATGCAAACGATCATTCACAAGCGATTAAAGCGATTTGAAAGGCGATTCTTGAAGGGACAGAAGCGACCGATTGCTCTTCTGCGTTGATGTGTGTGCGTGCATATAACACAAACGTGTGTATCTATGCTGTGAGAGGGTGTGCGCGCGCACACACACAAGCTCTCACACGAGCACACATCACACAAACATAATGGCACAGGCGGGGTGGGTGCGTATGTGCACACGCATCGAGGCACCATTTGACAAATCCTGCTGTCTTGCTGGATATCTTCACAGGTTTCATATTGACATTAGGGAACTTATCAATAACTTCTCGGAGGCAGAACGACCGAGCAGCGGTTTAAGCCCCAGCACTTTGGCTCAATCAAAATACACAACTACGTACGAAACAAGTCATTTTCAGCACACTCTTCCGTTCCTGCTAAATAGAGTCTCTCAATATATTTCGCTCCTAACATTCATGTATTTCGAAACCTAATAGCCCATGAAGAAAAGTATGAAAAATACATTTCAAGAAGCAGGCGTTAAAGGTAGGGACAAAATCACAGGCTACGTGTAAGTTTGAAACCTCTCGCGTTAATATTGTTCTTCTCGAGTCTTTGTTGTTAAGAGATCATCGTCAACTGTTAATTTCTAGTGTAAAGTTGCTCCAGTGATTAGCTAACCAGGTTAAACATCCGATAGAATAATCACAATCTTCCTCGGAAAAATACCCCTGTGCCCTGAGGTTTCCAAACACTATCCTCGTCTCGACAACCAAAGAGACCACAGCAACTGGGAAGTGGATTTGAATTCATCATTAGCGATTATTTATTTATTTATTTATTTATTTATTTATTTATTTATTTATTTATTTATTTATTTATTTATTTATTTCCACCAATATCCCCTAATTCTGACCACCGCTGCTGGAGCGATCGTTCATTATTTCACGGCCCTCACCGTGTCCAGAGCACCCATCCAGATACACAACAACAAAAATGAAATCTCAGCCGTTTGGGATGCTGAAACAATTCTCAGAGAAAAAGCCTAAAAGAATAATCGTTAGCCATGTGTTCAGATGCATGTAAGTAATAGGTCCGCGCTAAGTGACCGCTAGGGACTAGAATATAAGCTCAGAGAAACTTGCAAATGTTTTCTTCCAACTATTTAGCCCAACCTGGATTTCTATGTCTCCTCTTTTAATTTACACTGCTGGCGATTTACATCTCCCACTATTTCCTTCCTCTAAGTTATTTTTAAACACCTTCCCGATCAAATTGATGGGACACCTACCCTCCGACCATTCGGAGTCTCCAACACTTTCGACCTATTCATCGATTTTGCTCGGTTATTTTTGTCTTATTAAATACATTTCTGCAAGTTGCAACAATTCCTAGTTAGGTCCCAGTGGTCTTGAACTTCTTTAAATCTCGCAAAACCCTGCAAGGTGGCGCTCTTTTCATTGAGAACTGATATTAGGCTTATAATAAGAATAACATTTTGTAGAAAGTAAAGTTAAACTATAGCATTTCTCGCGAGGTCTTTAGAGGCCAGGATTGTGTGCACAACTAGCTGAAGATTTTTCCCTCCAGTTAGACCAATTAAGACTTATTATTCTGATAGCTCAGGGACAGCAATATAAAAAGGTTCAGGGAGGCCCAAAATGCATTTTAAAAAAATAAATAAATCTCTCGGTGATATGCTCTGGATAGTTTACAGATCCACTGAAATTGTGAACGCATTAATATGAGCACAGGCTCAGCTTCCTCCTCCACTTCTAGCAGTTAATATGCCTATTGACTTGCTGTACACATAATATTTCTTTAAAGAAGCTGTTAAAGTGTCATCTTGGTCTACTGGAAGGTCAGTTTGTGCAATTCACTCTATGACATATCACAAGCACTCGCAGCTTTAGCCAAGCTCATGATTTGTGTTGTCTGTTGATATGTTGTCTGCTTAATGGGGCGATCATGCAAGCTACAACAAGGAACAAAGCCCAACAGTTCCAACAACCGTAGCTAAGTTAGTGGAAGCAGTACAGCCTGCAAATCTATCAAACTAAACTGCAAGAAAGACAATCTGATTTAGAGAAAAGGCGTTCTGCTACAGTCATTAAGCACAAGTAATTTAGATTTTTTATATTGTCTTCGCATTTACAAATTTACTGTATCAACGCCAGCCAATGGAACGAATTTCTTAAGTAAATGAGAAATAAATAAAAGAGATAGAAAGATAATCAAATTACATAAAATAATTCTTAGCCCCTAGATTTATTTTTTTAGAAAGCTATTAACACTGGCAAAATTATAGTAATAATAATAGCACAGCATACGAAGTAATTGATTTAAATTAACATCACGTTTTAAAGAATATCAGCAAAAAACTGCCTTTCTGAACCTAGTGCTGTACTTCCAGGGAGAAAGGGGAGGGGGTGGGGAGTGGGAGGGGAAGGCCCTTGGAAAGCCATGAATCTACAGCAGGAGAATTAGTTATGGTCATAAATGCTTTAAATTAAAATAGCAACTAAAATATCCTCTGTTTTAAATCTCCTAATATGTGTTATCCAAATTAATTTAATTTAGGGACATAGTATAGGCAGATTCATTGGTGGAGAGCGAGGCACTCCCTAGCACAATTCCCCCACATTAATATTTATGTAGCATATGCAATCTATTTCTGTTATTTTTATGGTTGTTATTCTGTGTCTGCAAAGGTCATTTAAATTATACTGCGGCCGAAAATTTGTTTCATAAATTTTGATATAAATACTAATTACACACTATACTAATGCCAGCAGGGATCCGTTCATTTATCACATTTATATCACCGTCGCTGCTTTAGTGATGACATAATGGAAAGCAGTGAAAAACTGGTACAGTTTTATTTTAATATCCTAAAGCTGGCTGAAGTTGCAGCAGGTTGGCTGAATGAATAAGACTTCCTACCACAATGGATGGGATTTAAGAATCTTTAATAAGGTACGAAATGTTACCAAACAGTTCTGTAAACTAAATTTTACATACCAATTCTTCTAGCCATAAATATTGAATATCTGTAACATGTATAACCGGACCTTTACATGCGGATAAATATGGAAATTAGGATTTATATACATTATGTTCTGGTATTTGCCAAAAGCAACGGACAGATATAGTTTATAGCTTTTTTTTAATATCACTTTACATAAACAAATGTAACAGTTTGACACGCAGATCCAGGCTTTCACTATACGAATTGCTTGACAGGACGTGGAACAACATTTTACTGCACTACTTAGACTGGACTTTGGGACGAAATGTTTGCACTTTATACAAAAAAAGCACATTAATACCAATAATATTCTGTTAGATCGACGTTTAGACTGTAATAATACAAAGTAATTCACATTTTGGTACACATTTACTAGAACATTCTTGCCATTCAGTACAAATAGTTGAAT